ACAGGGTTGATTTCCTTTAGGATTGACCGGTTTGACCTCCTAGCAGTCCAGTAGATGGGAGCAAATTCTTCTTTTTAATCCTCTTTTTTGCGCTCTAGTGGTCACCAAGAGTTTTGCAACCCAGATCATGCAACTAATAAAGGGTGATGTCTTCATCACCAGAACGCCAGGTTGGTGTTGTGGTGAAGGCACCAGGCTAGAAACTGGGTGACTCTGAGTTCTAGCCCTGCCTTGGGCATGAAGCCAGCGGGGTGACTTTGGGCCAGTCCCTCTCTCTCCACCCTAGGAAGAAGCAGGCAAGGGCAACCATTTCGGAAAACTGCAAGAAAACTGCAGGGACTTGTCCAGGCAGTTGCCAGGAGTCAACACTGACTCAAAGGCACCATAAATAAATAAATAAATAAATAAATAAGTAAGTAAGTAAGTAAGTTAGTTAGTTAGTTAGTTAGTTAGTTAGTTAGTTAGTTAGTTAGTCAGTCTTCACAGCAGCCTGTGGTCAAGCAAGACCTGTAATTTGATGCTTCTCATTACAGATATTGTAGGAAGAAAGCCATGTTAGTTTATGGCAGTAAAACATTAGGAGAAGTCTGGAAGCACCTTTGCTGACTAATTTATTAAGCTTTCATGACTTGCAAAAACTCGGGAGTTTTGCAAGACCTCTGAAATGCTGGAGACAGAGCCAGGGCTTGTAGACTCCCTCCACCCTTCAACACTCTCTGTGACTTTGGTTGCTGCATTCAATCAATATCTCATTCAGCTGAAAATATATGTTCAGCTGGAGTCTGATGAGATTGAGTGAGGGTAGGATGATGGGGAAGACACGGAAACTGCTTGATGCAATCCAATAAAATTCCTTTGGAAATGCTAGCTTTGGTGAAAAAATTGGTTCAGTTGAGGAAAGCACGTAGGGGGTCATCCGCCAAGGAGGGTGCTCATTTAGCATTGCAGTCTCAAATTAATCCCCCCCAACTCTTGCCTTCTGCCAGGGGTGCAAGTGTTTCTGAGGTCTTGCTCCCCAGAGCCTAACTGGATTGTTCAATCCATTCAGACCAGGCCTCCAGCGGAGGGTGTCCATTGCTCCTCTGCCTCAACTGTGGGCCTGTCCTAACCTCCCACACAGCGTTGCCTCTCTGCTTCGCTGGGTGGACTTATACGCCTAGGATGCCTGTATTGCAAAGAGGGACTGTGCGCAGGCAGGTACATGGGAAGGAAGGAAGGAAGGAAGGGAGGGAGGGAGGGAGGGAAGGGAAGGGAAGGGAAGGGAAGGGAAGGAAAGGAAAGGGAAGGAAAGGGAAGGAAAGGGAAGGAAAGGGAAGGAAAGGG